GTCCAGGAGTTCAAAAACAGCCTGGACAAAAACTTGTCTGTACAAAAAATAAAAAATTGGCTGTGTATGGTGGTGTGCACCTATAGTCCCAGCTACTTGGGAGGCTGAGGTGCGAGGATCGCCTGAGCCTAGAGAAGTTAAGGCTGCAGTGAGCCGTGATTGTGCAACTGTACTCCAGCCTGAGTGACAGAGTGAGACCCTGTCTTAAAAAAAAAAAAGAAAAAGGTTCTAGGTCTGTGGGCAGGGGCATGTGCATCCTCCTGCATAGGGGCATGCTCCTCCAGTGAGTGCCCACACGATTCATCTCCATGGTAAAGCTGGTCCAGCAGAAACAGAGAGAGGTGCCAGCATGTGCCTGAGCCAGGATTCAAACTCCACTTGCCTGATACCAAAGTCCTGGCCTCTCAAACATTAAAATGTTGGGGAACAAGGCTTTTTATTTTGTCTGAGGTCTTTCTGAGCCTCCTGTCTGCAGGGCAGGTCCCACGGGCCCCCACACTGCAGATGGGAACACTTCAGGCAGAAGCTCAGGGCAACATGGAGAAGACACTGTCAGGACTGGCTTTGGGGCTAGACACTCCTGGGTGCTGTAGACCTGGGATGGGAGAGGAATGTCCTGGGGGGTAGGGGGGGTTCCAAGTGCAGAGTGGAACACTGGGTTCCAAGTGCAGAGTGACAGAGGACTGGTTGTGTGGAAACAAGGTGTCCCTCTGCCTCTGGGTCAGTGACCACAAACCCACGGATTGCACCCTTTCTGTTCATTCTTCATAGAAAGGAGAGGCCACTAGGGCCAGAACCCAGGCTGGGCTCCCCCCCACCTCCCGCCCCGTGCCGATGGGACCCAGGATGGCACTGTCTCCTGCTGAGAAGTTTTTTCTGCAGGGCACTCAAAGCATCCCTCAGCATATCAGGATGGGGTTCTTCCCACCTCCCCACCTACTGCAGAGCTGACTGCAGGTGTGACCGGCCTGGGACCCACCCGGGCCACGAGGCCTCCCACCGCAAGACCCGTGGGCGGGGCCCGGGCGTGACGTCACGGCTCCGGGCCAATGAGGCCACGCGGCCCGGAGGCTCCATTGCGCAACAAAGAGAACCCAGAACTTGAAAGGATTCCCCGGGCTCGGCCCCGGCTTCCACCCCCACGCCAGTCTCAACCCGCGCTGCAGCCGATCTGTTCCACCGGGCCCGGCCTGGCCTCGCCTGGAGAGGGATGCGCAGCGCGAGGCCTTGACATCTCTGGCACGCCCCCCCCAGTCCCTGCCCTAATGGTCTCAACCCCCCAGGACTCCAATCCAACCCCCCCCCCACCCCGCAATCCCCGCTCCGACCCGCATGCTCTCGCCTGCTGGTCCCCAGTGGGTCCCCCGAGTCCTGCCCCAACCCGAGGGCGCGTTCGAGAGCCTGGGAAACCTGGCGGGACTGCGGCCCCGGGACCACTCGGGGTAGCGCCGAGCAGGGGCGGGCACCGGATCCCTAGACTGCCCCGCCCCCGTCCCCTGAGAGCCCCCGGGGGCCGCGCTGCCAGGCCCCGATGCAGGGGAAGGGAGGAGGGACTGGCCCCGGGGAAGTTACCCAGAAGGTCTCCAAGTTGGGGGGTGCCAGCGCTAAACTGCGCTCGTGGACCCCCGGACGGACCCCGCGACCGACAGCGCGCGGAAAGCCCCCTCCCTCCCTGCTGAGTCCTCCCGCCGGGGTCCTCCCTCCCGGCCGCCCTCGGGCCAGGGCGGCGGCGCTCACCCTGCGTTCGGGCGCCCGGCGCTCCGACTCGCTGCTCCCGCCTCCGGCTGCAGTTCCCGCGCTCCCGGGCCGAGCGCGGGCAATCGAGGGCCGCGGGGGTGGCTGCCGGCGGAGCGGCCCGTGGGCCGTGGCATGCTGGCGGCGGCCACGGGCGACCGGCGCGCTCCGCTCGGGGGGCTCGGCCCCGCCGCCCCTTCCTCCCCTGGGCGCCGCCGCCGCTTCGCTCCGCTCCCGCCGCTCCGCTGCAGCACCGGGCGGCCGGGGGCGGGGGGCGGAGCAGGGCGCATGTCTCCGCCGGGGCCTCTGCGCCGCCCCTCGGCCCGCCCCGCCCCCGCTCGCTCCGAGGCGCGGTCGCCGTGGCGGTCTGTCGGTCTGTTTGTCCGTCTGTCAGCACACACCCATGCCCAGGCTCCGCCCGCGGCCGGGCCGAGCCGCCCTGGACCGGTGGCGCCTCCCGACAGCACCGCGCCCCTGGCTCCCAGCTGGGCTCGGTGCATACTCCTGACGCCGCCGGGGCAAGACCCAGGCCCGGAGCTCTGGGGACCCACGGGCCTAGGGAGCTGGTACAGGAATGGACAGTGAGAACCTGGGGCCGGGGGTGGGGCTCAGGGAGGCCTTCCGGGAGGAAGCGGCATCGAACAATCGCAGCGGGGCGTGGAAAGGACTCGAGACCCACGGCCAGCGGCTTCCAGGAGCAGCGAGGGGCAAGGTTGGGCCGGTTATGGCTTCACTCTGCTTCCTGGGCCTGGGGGAGTCCACCGAGGGAATAAGTGCACGGGCCACCGGGTGGTCCCCCCAACTCCAACGCTCTCAGAAATGTTCTCTCTGAAACTGAATACCACCGCCCAGCCCAGAGAGGCCAGGGTCTGCAGCCCAGCGCCTGAACCCCTCCCCTCCTCTCCTCCTCATTTTTGTCCTTCCAGCCCCTCCCTCCCTCTCAAGCCCTCCTGCCGTCACCACTTCTAATGGAGCACAGCCTGTCACCCATAGACTGACAGCCTCAGCTGACTCCACGCCCGGGCGAGGGGGGAACCCTCCTGCCCCTTGATGGGGGCCCTGGAGAGGATTCCTCCTGAGGATCGTGCCTGTCTCTTCTAGAAAACCCCTGATCACACACACAGTGGGCACAAGGCCTCTGGGGCTGCCTGGCATAGTGTCCTTTCATGCCTCTGGGACGCATCCGTGACTAAATGCCCCTGTGTCTGGAAAAAAGTGAGCACCTGACCAGAAGACCCAAACCAACTGCAGCCAGAACAGCTGCGTGGAGCTTGCCCAGCCCAGACAGGGCTACCCACGGCACTCCACAGTCTGCACCTGCCCAAATCGTCCCCACATCCCAGGTCCCTGAGCAGCTTTTAGGGGACCCAGGATGGGCCTCAGGGTCCAACCCATGAAGCAAAGAAAGTGTTTGTAGAGAATGACCCCACAGGAATGTGTGGGGCTGCGCAAGGGGGAACCTGAGCCATGCACACCTATACTCCCTGCAGTTTCTGGAGCAGCCAGGGCCCTTAGTGCCCCTGGTGAGCCCTCTGTGGACAGGCTGGATCCCCCTCCAGGTGGCCCTGGTTATAAATAGGCACCAGCAGTGGGAGGCTGGCACAGGGCAGCTGTAATCAAGGGTGGTGTTTCTAAGCGTCTTGCCTGTGACTCGGGGTGAAATGGTAGAAACACCACATTTAATTACATGGCCACTGAGAACCATGCCGCTTAGAATCACCACACTTGAGACTGCACACACAGCTATGGAGAGCCTGGCTCCTCTCTGCCAGCCCAGCTCACCTACTGCTGCCTGCACCAGTGCCTCTGCCCGGCCCCAGGTGGCTCTGGGGCAGGTGGGAGATGGTCTCTGACGGCTGCCCAGCTTATTCAGTGCTGTGCTGAGATCTGGTGCAAAGTGCCTGGTGCCCCTGGGAGGCGGTTTTTAGGTGCCTGGTTTACCCAAATCCACACGGATGAGTGGCTGAGCCAGGACTGAACTAGGGAGTCTGATGCGGGGCCCACCTTCACGTGAAGGATGTGGGTGCTTTGGGGACCTGGTCACCTCAGTGAACCCCTGGGCACAGGCGCTGCTGTGGCCAGCCCTGGGCCTTCTTCTGCTTGCTCAGAAGGGTGGCCTCCTCATCGCTCTGATCCCAGGGCACCACTCTGGCATGGGTCGTGGGTGGAGCAGGGTGGGGTGGCCAAAGCTTCATGTGGCTGAGCTTGCCCCCCCACCCCAACCCCCTCCCAGGCAGAAAATAACCCCATCAGCCATAACTGGGACCCGGGACAGATTCCCAAGCTCTTGGCTGGTGTTTCTGCACATCTGGAGCTGAGCCCTCTCTCTCCAGGTGCGCGGGAGCCTGTGCGAGGCTGCAGCTGTTGATGGGCCAGCCTTCTCCAGGCTGCAGGACAGATGTTGGGGCTTCAGGGACAGACTGAGTTGGGAACATTCTCCCAGATGCCACCTCTGGGTGTGCTTAGCTGGAGCCCCATGGATGCAGGTGGGGTCCTGGCTCCTGTAGTGGCTTTGGCCAGGCCAGATGCACAGATAAACCCTGCTGCAGACACCCTCACCACACACGTGCTCACAGATACACAGGGACAGATCCACATACATGTTGGTGACATGTATGCACACAGCTTCACACCAACAGCACCGACACACTTTCATGCTGCCGCTCAGACCCCTGCCCCATAAGCCATCCCCACGGCCTCCTGCCTGGGTGGCTGGGGGAGTTTGCACATCAGGTACAAGGTCCTGGCACCAGCTGGGGGCCTCCTACAGACAAAGATTGGGGTATCTGGGCAGTTTCTACCAAGAGCCTGGGTCAGGGTGGGGCTCCCACAGGCTGAGCCAGGCCACATTTGGCTCTTCACACCATCACCTCTCTGAGTCTTTACGAGGAGCCCCGCCCTGTCCATGGGAAAGCCACATAGGCTTAGAGCCGGCATACTATGCAAGCCGGACCATGGGGTCGTGGGGTGCTAGCACTCCCACCATGCAGCGTGGCCCTGAGTCCACATTCTCCCAGCATCTGAGCTGCCTATGAGGTCCAGGGAGCCGGGGTGTCTGGGGCCAGGACACCAAACCAGGGCCCCACGGGAAATGGCCATTCACAGCCCGCAAATCACCAGCCGGACGCCAATTGGTGTGGCTGTGCCTGAGGTTCTGGGGTCTATGCAGGCGCTGGTGCTGGGAGAGCTGAGCCTGTCCTCGGGAGCCCCCACATCCCATACCCCCTGGGAAAGCAGCCCCCCCAAGACAAATGACCACCCAGGACTTGTGGGTCCAGCCAAGCAGCAGCTTTATTAGTGGCGCTGGGTTCTCCCCATACCTTACAGTGTGCTTGGAAGCATTCCGGAGGGTTTCCATGGAACGCCTCCCTGCACTCGGGACAACATTGTAGCATCAACACTGGGATGATATAAATAAAGCTTTGGTGTGTAGGTTTGCAGGAGAGAGTACAGGTTAACACTGTGATACGAAAACTTCAGACAACACCAGCTCTCAATGTGAATTGGGTTTCTGGCCAAGGGGGTAACTTCTAAGTGACTGGACACTGGGCCTGTTGCCATGGCTACTCGGGGCCCCGGCAGCAGGAGGAGGGTGTCTAGGGCTGGGGCTCCACGTGGCCCTGTCGTTTCGCCTTCATCTGCAGGTACCGCCCTTTGCCTTCCTCAAAGCGCTTCTTCTCGTCCTCGGTCTCGGGCTGTGGACCACACACAGAGACAGGCAGGTTAGGGTCACTGCAGAACCAGTGCCGTGGCCATGTGACCTGACCTGGGCCACGCCCCCATGCGTGGATCTGCCCCACCCCAGAAGAGTGCAGAGTACCGCGCCTCAGCTCCTCTGGCCTCCTGGGACTGCCAGGTGCCAGGCATGGGCCTCATGTCCCACCTTGCTTATGGGCCTATTGGCTGGGCTATGTTTGGCCGAGAAGCTTTGAGGGGCGGCAGGAGCCATGGGTGGCAGAGCTCCATGGAGGAGGGGACCCTGAGGGCATGGCGGGTCAGAAGCAGTCAGTGGAACTGCTGAGCCCTGTGACACCTTCACACCCCCTTTCATAGCAGGTGTAACTGCAACCCCAGGGCCTGTTTGCTACTGAATTTGGTGGAAAATGCACTTGATAATGAAACATGGGAGCTGAGCGTGACTGGAGAGGAAGGGAGAGGGACCCTGCATTTGCTGCACTCCGAGGGAAAACCAGCTGCACACGGTCACTGTCCCTAACAGAAGTGGGCAGATGCTGTGCTGCCTGTGACCTTGAGAAGGCCTGACCCCGTACTGGGAGCAACAGGCCTGATTTGTGGGGAGGGAGCCCTGTCACCACACTCTGGACCATGCACTCAGGAGGTGGCACCTTGGACCCCACGGTCCCCTTCTCTTCACCCTGGGGGCAGAGGCAATGGAACAGCTGGCGGAAGACTGGGTTCTGCCCAGGACAGTCCTGGTTTGTGCCTGTTGACCTGCTGTGATTATGAACGGCATCCCCTTTCACTCTAAGTCTTGTGGCCCTGGGCAGGTGCCACCCCTGGAGTATGAGGTGGTCACTTCTGAGGTCCTATCTATCCCATCTCCACATTCTGTCTGGCCCCTCCCTGACCGGGAATTCAGGTTTAATGAGCTGTGCTAATTCCTCTGGGACATTTCATTGCAACATTTTGAGGGTGTCTGAAAGCCAAAGAAATGGGGCAGCTGCCCTTCATTTCATCCACAATGACATCCAACTGTACAGCTATTTTGGGGCCTAAGTGTTTTATAGACAAATGGCATATTGGCAAGAGAGAGCAGTCGGCCAGAGAATGTAGTTACACCAAATGCCTCCTCCCCTCTGCTCTCTCCAAAATTGGTCTCTAAATGTCACCAGGTGTAAACTGTCAAAACCTCACCGGCCTGGAGCCAATGGAATCTTTGGGTATTTAAAGAAATAGGTGGCCCTCCTTGCAGCAGTCCTGGTTCTCCTTTGAAGAGTCTTCAGTGTGCACAGGAAAACGGGCGGCTTTTCCAAGATACCTTATTGAAGAAGTCCCTCCCGCTGCTATGGTTTGATCTCTGGCTGACTTTTAAAAATAAAATCCGAGGCTACGCAATTTGACCTGAAACAGCCCAGGGAAAATGACATGTTCTTTCTCAGTTTTAGCTGCAGTTCTAAGTGGGCAAGACCCCTAAGCTTCCTGGGGGCTGGAGGGCACAGAGTCCAGCCCCTGCAGGTGATAGACAAGGTCCCCTGAAGACACGGCTACATCCTGCTGGGCACAGCTGAAGACCTCTGTGCACACTGAGGCAGAAGGTGCTAGGTGAGGGCTTCTTGAACTTTTAAGTGCATCTGAATCTGCCGGTCTAGTAAATGCAGATTCTGATCCAGAGGGTCTAAGAGCTGAGACTCACTTCTAATAGAATCCCAGGTGACATGATGCTGTGGCCTGAGGACCACACCTGTGCAGTAGGACCCTGCCCCAAATGGGGGACATCTGAAGTGGCCAAGAATGCAAGGTCAAACCCACCAGGCTGGGATGTAGGGGCCTTGTCCTCTTCTTCCCCTATGGAACTGCTTGGTGATGCGGAGGAAACCTGCAGCTCCTGTCCACCTGTAGCGGCCAAGGCCAAGGCCCCGCAGAGAGTGGCACCTACAGCCTGGCTTCCTGCCTACTTCGAAGACCCTGTAGCAGGCAGAACAAGTGCTCTGGGGTGGGGGTGGGGTCCCAGAGCTGGGAAACAAGGTAACGGGGCCCAGTGGGATTGCCACTGGGCTCTGCTGGCTTTGGAGTGGCTATGGCAACCTTGGGTGACATCAGGGTTGGGAGCAGGAGAGCCGGGGACGGGCAGGCTGGACTGTACCCAGGCGCCTCTTAGTCTGAAAGCCTGGCCCCTCTGCTAGGGTCCTCCCTCTAGCTGGTGGATAATCTGCCCTCCACAGAGAGGAAAGACGACAAGGGCTTGGACTGAAAAATAATCCTTGAAAGCGGAAGAGAATGAACCTGGCCCAGGAAAGGCAGCTATAGTGAGAAGAGACATAGCTGGAGCCCAGGCCCAGCTCGCAGGAGCCAGGTAGGTCCAGCCGGATGAGAGACTTCCTGGGAATGTGCAGACATGGGAGACTGGCATGAAACTCGGTCCCCAAGTGCCTGAGTCCTCAGGCAAGTGCTCTCAGGGACCAGAGGACCAGGAGGCTGGGGGACCAGTGGCGGCTACAGGGTGGTTATTCTTTTTGGAGTGATAGAATGTTCTGAAATAGACTGTGATGGGGGATGTCCACCTCTCTGAATAAACTAAAACCTGCTAAGTGGTATTCTGTAAGTGGGTGAGCAGAACACCCTGTAATTCCGTCTTTTTTTTGAGACGGAGTTTCGCTGTTGTTACCCAGACTGGAGTGCAATGGCGCGATCTCGGCTCACGCAACCTCCGCCTTCTGGGTTCAAGCAATTCTCCTGCCTCAGCCTCCCGAGTAGCTGGGACTACAGACACACACCACCATGCCCAGCTAATTTTTGTATTTTTAGTAGAGACGGGGTTTCACCTTGTTGACCAGGATGGTCTCGATCTCTTGACCTCGTGATCCACCCGCCTCGGCCTCCCAAAGTGCTGGGATTATAGACGTGAGCCACCGCGCCCAGCCAATTCCGTCTTAATAAAGCTGCTAAACAGTGAAAGCTCCACAGGTGAGAGCTCTCGGTGCTGGGGGAGTGGTCAGGGCTGCCAACACATGAGATTGGCCTGAACCAGGAATTCTTTCTTCTCTTTACTTTTGCATATATTTGACCTTTTCTATAATTAAAAAGCTACAAAAGAAAAAAAACTAACTAGTCTTAGATAGAGGAAGACCAGCCCCTCCTTTCTTCCTCAGGCACAAATGATCTCCAGGCCCCAAAGAGATGGAGCCCTGGCTTTACAAGCGGTGGGCTGCGGGCAGAGCTTCAGGAGACGTCCAGGGCCACCCACAGGCTCAATTTTCACCACTCCCTGCCAAGAGGTGCTGAGCGCTAACTCAGGACAATGCTCGAAACATTCCTGTCGCATTCATAGGTGTGTGCCAGGCCCCAGGCATCCGATGCGGCCAGGATGGCAGGGAGATCTGTGCTCAAGAGCCAAGAACCTCCAGGGCTTCAGACAGCCCAGCCCTCACCTCTGCCAGCCACACCCAGCAGTGGAGCCTTCAAGCCCCCTAACAATCTGGCCTTCTGGGAGTGGAATACGAGTCACTTCCCACCATTCTCAGCATCTTTACCAGAGCTCACATGCCTCTAGCCCCTGAGGATGTGGGACGACCACCCAACTCTGGGCCTGCAGAAGGCATTGCAGACAAGAGCCCTCCCGCCTCTTTGCCCCTGTATGGGCTGTGCACATGGGGCCGGGACTAAGCGATAAGGGGATATTCTCTGCTTGCAACCCGTGCTCGGGGCGCGGCTGGCTGTGCACATCAGTCTTCCCGACAACCCCACCCAGCAGCACAGAGCTGATTATTGTTCCACTTTTACTAATGAGGAAGTGAAGCAGAGAAAGGCTGAGTAACTTGCCCAAAGTGACAAAGCAGGTAAGGGCATAGCCTCCATTTAAACCTGGGCTCGGAGGCTGCTCTCCAGGACATCCTATGCTGAGGGGCTTTAGGGGTGGGACTCATCAGTGGGGAGTGAGGAAGGCGATGGACTCGTAGAGTCTCCATGGTGAACGAGGGTGGGAGGCCTTCCTGTCTCCCCTCACCCGACCCTGGCCCTCAGCACAGCCCAGGAGCACTTGCTGAGCTTAGCCTCCCCCAGGCGGGGCCCTGCCCTGCCCTCAGCCATATCATCCCAAAACACTGCAGCTGCTGCCACCCCAGCGGCCACCAGGCCACAGAGCGTTCCCAAAGCGACACGTCCAAGGCTGTGGCTGCTTCTCTCCTGAGATCAGTTCATGAGCAGCCTGAGGCAGGCATGAGCCCAGGTGCAGGCCATTCTTAGGGTCGGCTCCAGGCAGAGGGAGAAGCCGGTGCCCAGCAGTGGGGCCCGGGGCTGCTCTGATGTGGCCCTGCTGTTTAATATTTGCAGCACTTATCAGCCAGCCTCTGCCCTCAGACAAAGCGAACACTGTCTGATGATGGATGGATGTGCAGAAGGGGCTGCATGGGTCCTATCGCTCTTCCCCTGTCTCCAGGGATGGTGCTATGTGGTGGATGCTCTGGGCTCTGAGTCCAGACTAGTTCAGAAGCCTCAGCGTTACTGCATGGAGCACCCACCCATGAGCACTGCCCTCCCAAGGTGAGAATGGCCTTCCTCCCTGAGTGTCCAGGGTCATCCTTCCAGGGTGGAAGATATGAAGACGGCAGTCAAAGGCAGGGACGTCCCAGGTGCCTGAAGACCCAGGCTCATCACCCAGGGGGAGGTGGAGCAGAGTAGAGGGAGGCAGGGCGGTACCTGCCCCACGGTAAGAGGTTACCAGCCCACTGCTGGTGGGCAGCCAGCCTCCCCAGGCTGTGGCTCTGCTAAATATCTCCCTTACCTAAGCAACAAAGGGGCCACCTCCTCTCGCTGGGTGAGAAGCTGAGGGAGCAAGACAGATGGCCCCAGCACACGGCCCGGCTGCTGCCTCCTGAGAGCCATCTCCCTCCACCCAGCAAAGTAAATAAATGCATACGTTGTTAGCTGTTGTTGTTTTTAATGAAGAGCTGGGGGGTGGTGCTGGAGGAGGAAAGAGCGCTCCACGGGAAGACAGATGTCCCTCTCCAGTCCCTGA